ACAATAATAAATATAAAAAAATAATATAAATATATTTTTATTATTATTCTGCATTTTTTTCTTTTTGTTCTTTGATTACAATATTTGATAGATATATTATAATTTACTGATTATATGATACAGGTTGATTTAAGAATGAATAATTTATCTTTATGATGATAAATGTAAATTAAAAAATATTTCCAATTTGGAAATAATTCTAGTAATTTATAATGGTAATCATTTTAAAAATTGAATAGTATGAAAATTGAATAGTATAAAAAGTCTAGTTTATGCAACTTCATTAGGAGCCTTTTCTGTGAATATAGTTTAACTTACAAGAAAATGGTAATTCTTGTTAACATTCAAAACTGACCTGTTGTATTTATTTTTATTTAATTATTATTTATTTACTATTTTGAAACTGTTCAACTTAAAGCTCAATTTTAAAAAAGTTTTAAATTAATATATTTCATACATTATTTGATGATTAATTGCTATTTACTAATTTTAAATGTAAAAATTTTTAAACACCAATAAACTCCAAATTGATAAACACAATGGAAGGTGAAATAATAATTATTATATATTCAGACAATTTTAGAAAATAGCTTTTGTTGCTGTTAATTTGATTTCAGGTTTCCTTTAAGTATTTGTATAAAACTATTTTATTGAAGCCTAAAATAAAACAAAAATTATTGCCAATATCAAATCTATATGTTTATTTTCAGATGTATAAAAAAAATACAAAGTTTATTTTTTCATACCTGAAGATAAATGTAGGCATTTAGGATAAAGCAGTTTTGGACAAATATTGAAATGTTCAATTATTTGAAACTATAGACTATTTGCTCATTCATATTATTTAATCAGTACAGAGACNAGCCTAAAATAAAACAAAAATTATTGCCAATATCAAATCTATATGTTTATTTTCAGATGTATAAAAAAAATACAAAGTTTATTTTTTCATACCTGAAGATAAATGTAGGCATTTAGGATAAAGCAGTTTTGGACAAATATTGAAATGTTCAATTATTTGAAACTATAGACTATTTGCTCATTCATATTATTTAATCAGTACAGAGACTAGCTGTAATTTGTATTGTAGTTTATTTAATGTAAACAATCATCATCAGTATTATTAAATAAATAAATATTTTTACTCCAGTTAACCTTAATGATAAAATGCTTAAAGTTTTCTCATATTAATGTAAATCTTATTATAATAACATAAACCCTGATTGCTTTGTATTTCTTTATATACAGCTATAAATTTACAAATTTCAGACTAGACAGTACATTGCAAAGTATATCAAAACAGGAATGACTATGATTGAAATTTGGTAAGTACATACTGATTTATTTAATTTTATTCTAATAAATATGCCTGTTTCTAAAAATTTGCATTTTCTAAAACTGTTATATATACTTCTTGAAATATATTAATTACATTATCTTCCTGAAAATCTCTTACTTAATGTTGTTAATCAATTCCAGAGAGATATTATTAAAAATATATAATGTTAAAGACTTACTAGAATAAATTTAATAAATAAATAGTTACAATTTTAAAATATAAACTTAAAAATTATCAACAAATTGATCAAAATGCTGTTTAATGGAAATTTGATTGATTTTCCAAAAATTGAATTCTGAGCAATAAAAATTATTGTTGCATTTAAGAGAGTATTTTTAGAAATTTTATAATTTTCTATAATTCATAAATTTTTAAAGAATTATGGAACAAAAGATTGACCCAGAATGGCATTTGAAGCCACAACTTTTACTTATTATTTAGATTCCTTGACATTCATATTATTTGAATTTTGTTTGATTTCTTTTTTTCTTTTAGAGAAGCAGATAGTTAAATCTATTTTATAAGTATTTGGGATAACAAATAAACAGGTTTAACAAATAAACAAAACATTTATTGAATAACTAAGATTAACATACAAAATTCAGTTACAAGTCTATCTGACTAAACGCTACTCGATTAAATGCGGTTAAATGCCAATTATACAAAGGGCAGCTGTTAGCTACGTCTAATCCTGTTTCTGGGGGGAGAGAGTTTGCAGAGTACTAACATACAGTACCTCTATGTGAGAATGGATGGTATAGACCGAAGTATGGTGGACGCTGATGGTATGGAAGAGTCTGCATCCGTTGAATGTCTTCTCTGATGGGATTCAAGTCCTTTTGCATGGCGATCGACTGGCACAAGTACAGAAATAACTTCCTTGGGTTGATCCGCGCCTTGAGCTTCTGGGGGCTCGAGCTTTTATTCGCTTGTCGTGGGAAAGGAGTCACATGATTGTCATATGTTGACATTAACGGTGCATTTTTGACACCTACATCAACTTTCCCATCTAATTGTTATAACAAATGGTGACCTCAGATATAATTCTTACCAGGAGCGTTTTTTCTATCGGAGTTGTTTACATTTTTTTCCTCGACAACTGCATTAAATTCGTGGATTTCACATATTAATATAGAGCAAACTACAAAAAAATAAATAAATAAATTTGCTAAAATAAAGTAATAAATATAACATCATGTATTCAAAAATCTCAATATATTTATACATTGTTATATTTTAATTAATAACTAAGCAGAAGTATTAGTTTAGTAATCATAAATTGCACCATTAAATTCTTTGTAAAATGTTGTCTATTGGATCTTCTCTGCCCTGTAGACAACTAGTTCCCCATTAACTTATATAGTGAACAAATAATTAAAAAAAAAATATGAGTTATATAATATATACTGTATTTAGTTGCATATAAGACAATCTTGCATATAGGACAAGGTGTGACTTTAAAGATCAAAATAAAGAAAATTAGATTTATTAATACAGTTCTAATTTTATTTCGTTTAATCACAAATAAAATATCAAATGCATGTAAATGCACAAATTGTTCTGTAAAATTATTGGCATTTTAAACTTTAAGGAAAAATCTTGTAAAATCAACAACATAATTTGTTTAAAGCTAGACAATTGGGAACCTTCTTTTGCCAATTCTTAACAGTCGAATCCATTCTGTCAAATGTATACTTATGAGTTTCTCCGAATTCTGATTTCCAAATAATCATCTGTTTTCATATGGGAATGGATTAAAACTTAATCAGGCTCCCATGTGATTTTGGAATTTCAATTCAGAATTCAATTCAAAAGCTTTGCCATCCAGCGGATGGTTAAAGGTGTTATTTATATTAAAAGCTTTGCTTTTCCTATTGCTATTTATCTTTATTGCTGACAATACATAAGAGCAACCCAGATAAAATAGTTTTGTTTTTAAACATCAGGTCGAGCATCTGGTAAAAAGTGCAAATACACTGTTCACAAAATTTATTGTAAAAATGCAAAGAATCCTTCACTCGGGAGTATAGGACAACCTAGGTTTTTGAAGCAATGAAAAATGAATATAAACCTTGTCTTATACACGAGTAAATACAGTATATTAATTCAGTTTTGAAAAAAAGAGGCATTATGTATTAAGCTGAAATTTATTAATAACTTAATGAATTTTGCAAATAAATCAAAAAATTTCTTTTGATTATAGTGGCTATTATCATATCTAAATTATTCTGCTAATTTTTTAAATCTTTAATTAAATGATTATTTAATATATTGAAATTATAAGAATAAAAACTATGCTAAAATTATGCTGTTAAAAATTAGATGTTAAGTAAAAATTATTAAAGAAATAGAAAACAAATTTTTAGTAATTTGTCAGTTATATCTTCATTCCTGTATTATCATAATATATATACACTTTCAATAAAATATAGTAAAATATAGATCACTTTAATTATGATAGTTCTTGTACAAAATATTATAGTTGTATTAATATTGTTTATTTACAGTGAAGAGTTAGAAAAAACAGCAAGAAAGTTAATTGGGGAAAATGGTTTGCAGGCAGGATTAGCATTTCCTACTGGCTGTTCATTAAATAACTGTGCTGCTCATTATACACCAAATGCAGGTGATACTACAGTACTTCAATATGATGATGTTTGTAAAATTGATTTTGGAACGCATATAAATGNGAATATTTGTATCAGCCAATTCGTCGTTATCTACAAAATTGATTCTATTTAAATGTAGATCAGTGGGTAATAGAGGGTCTCTACCATATACCAAATAGAATAGAGTAAAATATAGTAAAATATAGATCACTTTAATTATGATAGTTCTTGTACAAAATATTATAGTTGTATTAATATTGTTTATTTACAGTGAAGAGTTAGAAAAAACAGCAAGAAAGTTAATTGGGGAAAATGGTTTGCAGGCAGGATTAGCATTTCCTACTGGCTGTTCATTAAATAACTGTGCTGCTCATTATACACCAAATGCAGGTGATACTACAGTACTTCAATATGATGATGTTTGTAAAATTGATTTTGGAACGCATATAAATGGTATGTATTTATAATATGTACATACATAAAAATAATTTTAAGTTGTTTATTAAAATGTATTTTTCAAAAATACATTTTAAAAATTCTAATTATTCCTTGAATATATCAAATTAATTAAGATAAATAAATAAATACAGGAAATAAAGAATTATCTAATTCTGTTGATGCATTGAATGTTTCAGTAAATTAGATTTGATTCAAGGGTTCAAAACTCTCAGTTAAATATGTTAAATACAGATGGGCATACTGATGTGTGAGATCTGAAAGGCCCCCGGGTCTAAACCAGTAATTTTATTAATAATGTTAAATATTGTCATAAAATATTATTTCATTTTGTGAGAAAAATAATGTTTTAACGCGGGAAAAGGCAGATAACAGATGTCACTTCCTTTGAGGGAAATTCATACATCCTCTGTTTTTCCCTTATCCGCTAAAAATCTCGCTCAGATGGGAACTATCTACCCCTCTTTGATCCCTCTCTCATCCGTTCACATGAAAGAGTTTCTAGCAGATGATTGGTCGTAAATCATGAGATATAGGGGAAATTTGTCAGAATTCGGGGAGTTCATCGTCAGACTTGAAAGAGTAAGGACTCCACATATTTGGCTCTGCACCGCCTTAGGAGTTCATCGACAGATCTGGAAGTGTCCGGACTCCACACATTGTCCTCCTGATGACCAATGCCCTTAGACGAGTCACATAGAAGAATTCCAGAGTTAGCGCTTAGAAGATATATTTTAATTTTGTGCACATATCGATCTCCCATGTAAAGAAGTAAATGAACTTTATCTCCAAAGTGTCCCTTGCCTACAGGGAAGAAGACGAACAACAACTAAACCAGGTTGTATGTTTACTAACGATATTGTAATCTCTCTCTCGATCGCGCATCGGTCATAGTATAAGTCCAATTATCTCTCGACGGGTATCTTAATTGTAGTAGTTATATCATTCCTTTATTTAATAATTTATATTAGTTATTATTTTCTTATGTCATATTAAATTTATTGTTGTTTGTTTATCAAACGAAATGACTCTTAATTTGTGTCTGAATCAGATCTCATACGCGTGTTTGTCCGCAGAATTAAATTGACAAACTGGTGTCAGTCCTGACGAGCATCTGGACTTCACAGTTCAGATCTACTAGCGATTATCGCTCTCCTATAAAAAGTAAGAGAACCGATCTCACGATCGCGTGCCCGTAAGTGGCGTAACTTTGTTTACGTCCCCGGCTATCTCACAGATGTGAGGACAAATGCAAATTTGGCATTTTAGGAAAAACTCCTCTCTCTGCAATTACACAATAAAATGAAATGTTGCTGTTAAAAAAAAGTTACTCTTTTTGTTGAAAGGTTGTTTCTAAGTCAAGAGTTCATTTTAAGCACACTACAGTACTATTTGTATATCAAAGAATACTGTTTGTTGATTTGTTGAATACTGTTTGCTACCTTGTATTTACTAGATTTACATAATTTACATACAAATAATAATGATAAATGATGATAAAATAAAGAGCTCATGTTTTGTTTGTAAATTGCTTATTTTTTCATTACATTGAAGTTGTGGATTCTATCAAACATTTTTCTACGGAATGTATGTACTGTATGTTTTTAATGTAGCAGTCTTTGAAACATATCAGCTGTGCAAAAAGAGGGATAGATGTATTCAATGTTTACAGTAAATAAAATGCTGTTTTATTATGTCTATATTCCACACCGTAAAAAAAATGTGAGGGTCAGGGAATTTGGACAAAGTTAGTCAGGGAATTCAAAACAAAAATTTGAGTAGGAACCTTGTTTGAACTAACTTCATTATCCAAGATATGTACTTGAATATTTAAGTTTTTGTCTTAGTGACAGACCTATGAACAACATATCAGCTTTGAAGTTTATCAAAAACTAGGTGGACAGCATATGCAGCATCCTCAGATCTGTCAAAATGTGATTTTGTGCGCTCTTGAAGATTGTAGCTAAAGTTTTAAGTGGAATAAGAAAATCCATGCAAAAAGAATATGGTCTGAAAAAATGTTATCTGTTAATTCTATTGTTTCTCTGAAAGTCATGAAAATGTTTCTGTACAAGACACACAACTTTCTATTAAAACTGGAATCTGAAAAACTAAATTCATTAAATGCTGCTTTGTTTCAAAGTACAATAGAACTAATGAAAGATCTGTACACTTCAGAAACTATTGAAAGTTTGCTTGGTGAAGCAGTTAATGTTGATCACAATTAGATAAACAGCCTGAAACTTAAACAGAACACACTTTTGATTTGTTTACAAGTTGAAGTTTTACCAAGTTTTAGACCATTTGATTGTTCTGATGGCTACAATATTGATATTTTATTGAGCAAGATAAAGCCTACATGTACAGCATTTCTCCCACTCATTTACAGAATGCCAAAAAATGTCAAATAATCTGATGGAGACACCAATAAATAGGCTTTTTTTTCCCCCTAGATAAAACAAGTTTTGGCATTGACAGCATCATGCATTACAGACAGAATGATAATACTTTGATACATCCTATTCCCTTAGAGATAAAATAATAAGTTCTGTTTTGAAAACAACATAATTGAAAAAGCAAATACAGTTGATCAACCGAAACTTTGGTTAACCGAAAGCGTTCCAGTCGGACTGTGATGTGCTGAATCAAACGTTTTTGATACTAGATTAACTTCTAAAGTATGATTTTTTTTTATTTTTATAGTTTTCAATATATTTATTTTGTTTGTACAAAATAAAGAAATAATTTTTAATGATACAATTGCCATGATTATTATTATAAAAATTTTCATTAGGCTTAACGTCGATGAAAATTCAACGCGAAGCAACACACGATGGAGAAAATTTAAATGTGAGATATATTAATATACTATTATTGAGATATACTAATATACTATATTAATAATGTATTTTTTCGTACATAATCGGTTATCCAAAAAATTGATTTTCTGAACAACCCTAGTCCCCAATTGATTCGGATAATTGATGCTCTACTGTATTGCCATTTGTGAAGTGCAGGATAGTTACAATAGCTCCAGTAACTGTTGCAAGTAGTGAACACTTATTCAGCAACATTAAGAGGATTAAAAATAACAGAAGATTAATGATTCAAGATCAAAGGTCAAAGGTGCTTACTTTAGTAGCATGTGAAAAAACTTAGTAGTGCCTTCTAAAAAAAATCAAGATAAAAAAAAATGAAGATTACTTTTATTAAATAAACTTGAGCTATCTTGCATACATTTAAACAGTAAACACTTTAAACAGTAGTTTCGTTGCTACTTTCGTGGATATACATGGACATCGGTCTTTCCTTTCCATTAAATCTGTTAAAAAAAATCTTTTTCCATGTGTTCAATGGATTCTTACTCGACCATATCCATAATTCTGTAATTATGCCTACCACCAACGACATGAAGATCTCTAGCATAAACACTTTTACATTTGGCCTGCTGTTGGAACCAGCTGCCAGCCACTTATCCCTGGAGTAATATTTGTAAAATTTTGCAGCCAGCTCGAACAAGGATGGTACTAAATATAGTAGTACTTACATATAAAATTCTCTATAGTCTATACGTGTAAAAAAGTTAGTAACTAAAAATATCTACGGATATATATTTATCTATAGTCTACAAGTGAGAAAAAGTTAATGACTAAAAATATGAGAGGATATAAAATTCTGTATTGTGTAATAAAGTAGAAATCACAACAAGAAAAAAGAAAGCGAAAATTTTTTTACAAATGGATCCATTAATATTTATTATGCGGGATGTATATAGCATTAAAATGACAGAGCCAATTGAGTCGTTGTTTAAATCTGTTTCAAGAAGTATTGATATCCTGCATAAAAATACTGTAAACAAAAATTGAATATTTTTAATGGTTATTTCCATTTTGTCTTTAACTTTGTTTTTGAGGAAAAATTTCACACGTTTAAACTACACATCTATATTAGATTTAAGAGAGATGCCAGAAAATGGAGTGAAGTAAAATGTCAAGAAATAAAAATTATTAGTTTTGAAGGATCACTTCTGATCATTATTGCATTATTGTTTTTACTATATATATATAGTAAAAACAGTTTTTACTATATATATATAGTAAAAACTGTTTAGGTGAACACCTGCATTTGACGGACACCTGTCAAGATGGGCAAAAATTTCTGGCACGGAATAGTTTATACATAGAGTCTTCATATAAGTTACCTGTGTAATGCAACCACGAACATCAATTTTTGGTCAGAAACAACATACAACAACTGTAATAAACAACCACTTCTGTGAATATATCTGGTCTAAACTATTGTTTGAACCCATCTCAACAACATTTCTTTCCTCCTAGTATAATGAATTAGTCTAAACTCTTGTTGTTCAAACCCACCTTGGGCACTTCTCCCACTCTTGAAATTAGATGCAGGTGTTAATCGATTAGTCCAGCTACAAAGGAAATTCATTTCAGTTTGTTTGAAAATGTCAGAAAAAGGAAAGAAATGCGAAGTGCTGTCTTTAGAAGATCATGTTAAAGTTATCAGAGAAAGTGAAAATTGTTTATCACAATGGCAATTAATGGTGAAGTTTGACTGTGGGAAAATGCAATTTATTGTACTGTAGACCTACAATATTTTCCTTAGGGGTATAAAATATTGTGCACAATACAATTAATTGGCTGATCTCATCATTTGATATAATTTATGTTATTTTATTTTAAGTTAAAATAAGTTTAAACTAACGAAAACCAAAACCGAAGTGGCAGAGAGATACGTCACACTTCTATATTGATGATGTAATACACATAACTAAGGAGAAAACAAAGAGAACCAAGTTGAATTAATTAAGTCAGAAAAAAGAAAGTGTGCATTATAATTGAGAAAAATGTGAATACTGTATTAATCTTTAAAATAGTAGAGAGGTTGAGGCACACGTATTTAGCCCAAAACGTGTACAGGTAACGGGTGAGCGCCGCCATCTGGCAGTTCTGGACTGTCGATAATGGCGTTTGCTA